GGTCAGGTGGCAGGTCAAGTGGCGGGTGGCAGGTCGAGTGGCGGGTCAAAGAATAAAGAATATATATTAAGTATAAAGAATATTCTACTCAATAGTGTGACTTATTAGAAGTAGAAATATTAGAAGTCGAGTGGCAGCTGTCCCTAGTGGTGGCGGGTCGAGTGACGGGTCGAGTGGCAGGTCGAGTGCCGGGTGGCGGGTCGAGTGGCAGGTCAAGTGGCGGGTTAAAGAATAAAGAATATTATACTCAATAGTGTGACTTATTAGAAGTAGAAATATTAGAAGTCGAGTGGCAGCTGTCCCTAGTGGTGGCAGGTCGAGTGGCAGCTGTCCCTAGTGATTTCCTTGGCACATGGTCCAGAAAACTATAGGCTATAGGGTGCGAAACCATAAAAAGCTATAGGCCTATGTTTCATATGTAGTTATGTCCCGTGGGGCTGCTTCGCTTTGGACTCAAAGAGAGATCTCTCAACAACTTTACTTTTCCTTAGGCAAGAATATTATAATAGTGTTATTATATTTTAACTGTTCATGTTGCTTCTTTAATAAACTTTCAATACTGATTATGGATGAAATATTATTTCTCATTTATTATTTGATTGTCTTCATAAAAAATAAAAATTGATTTATCATCTGACTGGAACTCCTCCTTGCATCACAGTCTTGTGGAACAGGAAGTCATGGCTGGACAATGTCATGCTCCTGTTCACCCTGGCGTGGGTAAATGTAACAAAAACTCAGACCAAACCTGCATAAAAACAACTTTTACAAACCCATTGCAAATATTTTATTGAAAGTATAATCTATCAAATGCAATTAATTAATCATCTCATACCATTAAATATTATATAGCACTATTTGGAGCAAATGAGTTGTTACCCCTGGGTCCTAAAGTCAGTTTCTCTTCAGTATGCATTTAGATACACATGTAGACATTATAGCTTGAATTTTTAAGCATTTATAGTTTTTTTTTATGTGTACTGAAGCATTCCTCGCATTCCATTAATTCCTATGGGGGTCAATTTGACCTCAAATCCATTCTTTTTGTGTGTGTTCAAGTGCACCAAAATCATGGGGTCTTGGACCCTTTCCATAAACAATTTTTTTTAATTTTCCAGAGGGAAGGATGAGGGTTAAGTGAATTCAATGTCAATTTTAGCTTTAATGCTAACAAATTTCAAGTGTTTTCCCATTTTATATTTTCATAGCTTGAGTGCTAAATCGGTCAAAGCATATGTGCTAAAAATACAAAAAGTACAATAACACAACTGGTTTGACACTACAGAACTTTACTTGAATTGAATCCAAGTTCATTGTCTATACAATATATATTTACAAAGTCTGAAAGAGGGGAAATAAACAATAAAATACTAGATACAACTGAGGTATTAGCTAAAAGCATGTACATGTATTCAACTCGTAAATATCAATCATGATAAACAGTTTGAGATGTGTCATCTGCTTTAGAAAACATCTTATATCACAACATGAGGTAGGAGAGCAACGTCTCATTTTCATGCAAGAGCAAAAAAACCTCTCATCACACTGTAGAATTGGCAACATATGCAATGATACACACAAACACTGCATTTCTTATCTCAGAATTACAACTTAAATATCTTTGCTGCTTACAAAAGTCATAAACAATATAATTTCTATTACAGTGTTGAGTGTGTTCTCCAAAAAAAGCATCACATCTGAATTTTTTTTGTTTGTATTAATGTCTCACATTAGAAAAGGTGTGATCGATATAATAGGGTCACATGCTGTGCTGGCAGGTAGTTATTTGTATACTACGTGTATTTTTTTTACCATTATAAAAAATGTTCGGTTTATATAATTGTAATTTTCTTTTGTCTCTTTTTGCCATTAATCAGCTCAAGGGAGCCACATTATTCATTATCCCCTGTAAAATGGGATATTTTCCTTTAGAATGCAAAATACATGGTTGCTTTGCTGGGAAAACTCTAGTATTAGATTGCTTTAAGGTACAATTTTGCTAATTATATTATACCAGGCCTATATACATCAGATATTCAACATTTCACACCTCTCAAATATGTACAACGTTATCTATATTCATTTTCTTAATACTGCAAAAGCCAAAAACGGGTTTGTTGTTTCTAGAGTCTAAAGAGTACTGTATTCTTATGCCCATAATTCAAATTTAACATGGCATTCTATATAGAAGATATACAGCGCCCCCCCTTGTACAAAATGCAATTTACACATTACAAATGAAAAGGTATACTCTAAAAAGCTTCAGAAATACACTTTAATACCCAAAAACTATCAAAAACAGCATTGAAACTGGCTGCTACAGAGGTAACTGTGGTGAAAATAAAAGAAACCTAATACTGGTTGTACAGAAATTGTAGTCGACACGCTGCGTGTAATGTATTACAGTGACAAAACAAATGCTACAATCTCTCAAAAGACCTACAAATGAAATCAGAGCTATATATATATATATAATAAAATAAAATAGCTCCTTTCAGTAAGCATGTCTCATTTGCCACTCACACACAGTCTCTCATATCAAAAGTCTCTGGTCTCTGGCATCTCAATTAGGCTCTTGAGCACATTTTGTGTCTATTTACATAAAGACTACTTTTTTCAGACAATATGGAGGAACGTTTGTTTGAAAGCTTGTATATGTGAGAGAATACAAAAGAGAGAAAAAAAATCACTCTTCACTTTAGCAATAATGAATCTTTTGTTTTAGCATAACAATATATAGTATCTAACAATACATGCATTACTTCACTCCCTTCTTTGTAAGAATTTCAAATTATGGGGCAGAGGAAAAGCTGAAAAGCGAGCACCACCAAAATAACAACAGGTTGTCAGACTCAGTGGGCTCCAATGAAAGGGACGAAATGACCCACTGTAGGGAGACACTTAAGTACCGGGCAGCGTACGTCACAGTTCCCAATCCCCGTTGGATGGAGTGTAGGGGTTCTTCAGAGCATCATGCATCCCACCCCCTCACCACCATACACACTTTAACAACAATCACTCTTCAGGTCAAAAAATAATAATAATAATTTTTAAACAGAGCTTGGGCTACACCCAGCTTTTGCAAATGTGATCAGAAACCTTGAAATATTATTTATAAGAATTTAGTTAATATATTAATGACTACCGTATGTACAAAGTGTATATAAATCTTTATTAGTTAATACATTAAATAATTTCTGAATAATTTCAAGAAAAGTTCAAAAATGGCAAAGCACTCATTTACAATATAGTCTTGTTTTTAAATTCTTCATTGTTGGATATATTCACATAAATCAGGGTGTTTTCCTCTTTTTACGTCTAAGAGGTTTTGCACTGTACACATTATCAGGTTTAGAAAAACGCTGATTTTGGAACTGATGAATTGTGCACAGTGGAATGTTCTATAAGAGATATGTACATCATGAAAAAAAGCCTTTATTATAACGGTCTAATATTGTTTACAAACTCAATTGGAACTGAAGAAAGAATGAACAAACTGCACTACTGGCAAAAACACTTCGGTGGGTGGGCATGGGTGGGCATCAAAGGCCACTGCCCCATCTATGGAGAGAAAGCGCACGTCCTCAACCCCCAGTGACTGGGAGCTAACCTGACAGCATTATTTCCTTAATGTCCCTCCCTTGGCCCCCTGTCTGTTTTCTTTGTCTCTGTCAGACCTGTTTGTTTAGTCATCCAGAATAATGACACAGAGGAATGAAGAGGGGGAATATGAAAAAAAAGAAAGAAAGAATGTTCAGGCACCCAATCCTAAAAACATAACAGCCTAATCATTTAACCTAGAATACAGCATTCAAAAACTGTAGGTAATTTATCAGCATAAAGAAATCAGCTATGGTTTATGAGAGATTGTGACGTCCTTCAATGCTTTACATCTCCAATTACACTACTAATGGATCCTTGAGGAAATTCACTAAGAAATTTACAAATTTAAGGTCAACTGTATGCTTTATTTGAAGATATGTTGATTTACTTAGTCTTGACATTTCCAATCAACTAAACCAATGAGTTCTTTGACACTACAGGAACTCTTTCTTTCTTCTGTTGAACACAAAAGAAGATATTTTGTTGGTAACCAGACAGTTTACGGCACCCATTGACTTCCGTAGTAAGAAAAATATACTTTGGAAGTTAATGGGTGCCATTCTTCAAAATATCTTCTTTTGTGTTCAACAGAAGAAAGAAACTCATACAGGTTTGAAACAACATAAGGGTGAGTAAATGATGATAAAATAGAATTTTTGGGGTCAACCATCCCATTAAATGCGGGCCAAGTATCATAGTGTTCTCCAGCAGGGGGCGAATGCGAGTCTTTGCTGACTGCATCACACAGGAATGAACTGAGTTGTTTGTCATATACCAGCCTGCAAAGGGTCAGCAGTGCAGACAGGAAACATATAATCAACACCAGACCGAAAAGACAAACGGCAGGCAGTTCAAGACGGAGGGAAAGAAAATGGAGGGGAGAAGGAAAGGAAAAGGGGGAGGATTGTGATCTTAAACCAGGGGCGCCTCTGTTTCTGAATCACTTGAATGAAACATAATGACTTGAAATTCTATATAATAATATTTTACTGATATTTTTGTGATATTAACAAAAACAAAAAAAAATCTGTCAGAAATAGTGATACACATAATGAAAATAAAAAGTAAACATCCACGTGGTTTCTTGCTGCTGCAGGGCATTGGCGTCTTGCTGTTTGGCATCCTGGGGCTCCGTGTGACAGGTAGTATTTTACTGAGTGTCAGTTTTGTTTCCTGTATCCAAAGGGCTTGGACAGGAAAAGCACTCACGCACTGACCCAACGACACAGGAGGTAAAAAGTACTGAAAAGAAACACCTCCTCTGTCCCATCAGCCTCTCAGCACGACTATAAATTATAACAAACATGTACATCCAAAAAAAAAAAAATGCTTGACAACTGGTTGAGGACAGGGCGACTTAGGGGAAAAAAGGAGACACGAAAAGTCTTTAAATTAAACGAACACAAAGGGAAATGTTTATGGGAGAGCTGCTCTTTTCTGCAGAGGTCTTGTGTTTGTCTGTCTCTGCAGGGAGTGGGCAAGCGTGTTCCTGGGCTACAGGCGTGGAAGTGTGCGAGAGACGAGGCGAGCAGGAGGAGTTTATCCGGAGGTTACCTCTTGGGCCGGTGAAACTGGGGAATGCTGGGATTGGGGGCTTGCGGAGGGGGTCGGGGGCTGAGCAGGGCTACTGCTGCGGCTTCCCTTGGTGCCAGACTGGGCCATCTGCAGCTGAAGCTTTGAGATCATGAGCTCCAGCTTCTCTCTGGCCTCTCGTTCTCTGCACAGCTCCTCCTGCAGTTCCTGTCGCTCCGCCTCAGCACGCTCGAGACGACAGCGCAGCTCGCACAGCTGCAGACAGAACGAGAGGAGTTAGAAATAGGAACGCACAAAATATTTCAGAAAACACTAAATTGAACCTCAGTGATTTCTGCATCGCATTTTAGCAGCAGAGCAAATCTACAGCGCCACGGCAAAATACCAATTGAATTGAATGTGATAGTAAAACGTCTGTCTACTCTGTCGCTCTATTGCATTCTCTTCACTTTACTATAAAACTATACTAAAGCAACAAGTATTAATGCCTCAGTGACTCACTTCGTGAACAGAGTCATTACTTTCAGAAAGTTGAGGAATTTCATATATAATGCAGTGTTATTTCATTATTATGTGCATACTTTTATAGTACTTATTACTATTTTGAATTAGCTTTCATTTTTATTTTAGTTCAAGGTTTAGTCATTTTGTTATGTACTTTTTAAATATTTCTAATATAACTTTTTCACGTAGAATTTGTATTTTACTTTACTTAATTTCAGCTTTATTTAAATTAACAAAACGATTTTTTAAGTTTTAGTTTAAAATAACAGATCTGATGACACCATATCACAAAATGTGATACTCTACACAATTCTGAAAAATAAATAATAGTAAAAATATTACAATATGCAAATGTTACTTAATTTGTCTTTTTATAAAAATAAAAAAATAAAAATTGGTAATTTGTCTATTTTAATAGATTTATGTATGTGATCAAAAGAAATGTGCAGTAATATCAGCAGTACGGATAGGCTACTTGTGTGTTGGTCTGATTTGATTAGACCGGATATTTGCTCTAAAAAGTTTGAGAACCACTGCCCTAAATAATCGCTGAAATCAGGCCCAGTGTGCAAGTCAGCCAGGCACTGGCTCTCCATCTCAGTGTGCGTGCGTATCTCTCTTCCCGTTACTGATTCACTCCCACACACAGATAAGCTGTGCTGATACATGCAGCATATTGCATTGGGCACAGGAATAATTCACACTGGGTATAGTTTATCGTTGCATCACAGAGTGATTCTGGCGCACTCGGATAGGCTCTGCCCTCTCGCGTTTACCTGCGCGTTGTACTGCGCCTCCTGTTCTTTGGGTTGGCAGGCACAGCTCTGCTGCCGGAGCTGCTCCAGTCGGTGTTCCAGCTGTCTCTGCTCCTGCCGCACCTCCCCCAGTCTCTGAGCATGCTCAGTGTGCACCGCCTCCAGCTCGTTCTGCAGCTCCAGCTGCTCCGCAGACAACTCCCTCAGCCTGGCCGCCTCGCCCCCGCGCACTGCCTCCAGCTCCTACACACACACGCACATCAAGACATGCATCAAACAATGTGTGGCAAAGGTCAGGGTTTGTAGTGGACGAGTCAAGGGTGATAAAGCTCAACTGGAACATACTCCATTCTGCTCTGGCCTTCACCTTTACACTCACTATATAACAAGGTTCCTCTCTTTTCACAGGACCACAAAAGAGCTTCTCAGATACACAACTAGTCCATCTCCCTGGCTCTGATCAAACCTCTAGTGAGCTGCCTATTTAGAGGAGCATTTTTAGACATCGTAGGCCCGCACCTGACACGGTGGCTGCTCCATAAAGGAGGAAGCAAAAATCATGCTGCGTTTTAAGATCCCCGTTTAGGCCAAAATCTAGGGCAGAATCGCATGAATCATTTTGCGGATGAAGCAATCCCAGATGCAATACGACAAGCTTAATGATTTTCATCCAAAATGGCAGCAGGAAATAATTATGAATATGCATTCTATATGCACATATTTATCCATCAGTGTGTGTATGCATGTATAAAATGTATAGATAAAAATTGCATCAAAATTAAAAATGGACAATTTTATTGATTGTGTATTTGCCATATATCATTTGTGCTTATGAAACCTAAGGTCAGGGGGTTTCAAACTAGGGTGTGCAAAGGTGCTTGTATTAAGGTAGGATATAATTCATCTATTCTAAATTAAATGTTTTAATAAAATTACTTTAAGAAAACACATTTACTCAATTTGATATTACTACTTTAATTATTCCTTCTTAAGCATTATTCAGTGATTGTATTCTATCGTTAGCTCCAGTTTTTAACAATAAGAAATAGGTTTGTATAAGGTTCTATCTTATTTTCTTTAATAGTGAACAGAGTAATATTCCCAGGTATTATTTTTTTTTTTAGGCTTTAGTCGAGTGACCACATAAAAGCCAATTACTTAAAGGAGCTGTATGTAAGATTGTGGCCAAAACTAGTACTGCAATCACTTTCAAATTACTGTAGAGTGGTGTATCCCCTCCCCCTCCTCCCTGACTCGAGGTTGCCAGATCGGCTGCAGGATCCAGCAGGAACGTGACGAGCTGCAGCTGTGGTAACTAGAGCAGAGCTGGCAACCCGGATGCCGCAACACTACTGACTTCGTGATTGGTAGATAGGTGGAGGGTGGAGCATCAGACCAAAACACAACATGACAACATCAACATCAGTTGAGGGCTGCAACTGCACTTTTTAAATGACAATATCCTGGCCAGACTACTGTTGTCAGTGATATAAGTATTTGAAATGTACATGATTTCTTAATGTCTAGTGACATTTCAGGGCCATTTTATGATTAATTGAAATAAATTTCTTACATACAGCTCCTTTAATTGTAGAAACATCATGTTGTCGTTTTAAAATCATGCTTAATATTTTTTCCCAACAAAATATAAATCGGTCTTACACATTAAATATATATATGGTCACCTTTAATTGATATTTAATTAAACACATTATTAGAGTACTGTACTGTTAGCACATGTTAACATCAGTCTCTATTGTAATCAACTGTGAGCATTAGTCAAGAGTACGAAGCCAATAAGTTACTTATGAGTTATAACGCATCCTTAGAAGATTGCTGCCTATGTAGACAGCAGACACAGAGCCAGCTCATTAGAGTTTGGAACAGAGCCTCTGTCTCTCAGGTAGGGATGATTTAGGTAGGGATATGTCTCACCATCTCCAGCTGCAGCTGTTTCTGAAGGGTGGAATTGAGCTTCTCTTGCTGCCGCCGGTACATCTGCACAATTTCCAGCATGATCCTGTCCTTGTCGTCCTCTGTTCCGCTGTCTTTTCCCGCCGTGGGAATGGGGGCGTGCTGCTTGCCGCCCGAGCTAGTCTCCATGGCGACTGGCGGAGGAGGTTGGCGGCGCTCGTGCGCTTCGCCCGCGTGGTGGGATTTGGCCTCCTCTGCGACAGAGGAAGGAGATGCGGGAAGATCTGAGGGAAAGGGAAGAAAGAGTTAACCACACTCACGCAATCACACACACACCTTATCTGTCGTGTGCTGAAAGTCTGTGACTAATTCTCTGTCGGTGTCTCTTTTTGAAGGTCAGCATAGAGGGGAAGGGCTGGACGTATCACACAAAAATGGGAGGCAAGTGGAAAGTGGAGATTTTCATTTTTTTAGTGCTGCTAAGGTGCTACACAGGCTCGACATACAAATCACCTGAACCAGGCAAACCGCAGCTGCCTAGCATGTATGTTTAGATGAGCAATACGGGAGTCCAGAGGGACTGAGAGAGAAAGAGTGTGTGTGTGAGAGATACGGCTCATTTAAATGTAGGACAGGCAGGCTGCAGGTCTGGCACTACAGAGCCGAATAACAGCCTCGCTCTGCTGCTAGCCTCTACTGTGACTAAGACCTGTCTGTCACACTCAGAAGAATGAGTCAGAGATGGAGAACGAGAGACGGAAGAGACACGGGGGAGCAAGGATGAGAACGAGTACATGGAAAGAAGAGAGACAGATTGAGGAAAAAAAGGAGCCGGGATGGAGAAAATGTGCATAGACAAAAGACAGACGGATGATGGAAAAGAGAAAGGGGGATCCTGGATAGAAGCAAAAAAAGAGGGAACAAGAGAGAGACAGATGAGGAAGGAAAGACAAGGATAGCTTGGATAGAGAACAGATACATGGAAGAAAAAGAAATGAGAGACAGAGGAGGCAGTATGACAAAATGAGTGGATATAACAAAACAAATACCGACTCAGGAAAGAAAGAAAAACAAATGAAGAAACAGAGACGAGGGAGCCTGGATGGAGAACAAATACATGAAGGAAAGAGAGACGGATTGAGAAAGAGCTGAGGAAGAAAGTGAAAGAGATAAAAGGAGAGAGTCGGGAGACAGGTTGAGAACGAGAGATGGAGGAAGAGAGACTGGGAGCCTGAACGGAGAACGGGTACATGGAAGAAAGAGAAACAACTGAGGATGAGAGATGGGGGAAGAAAGATAGACAGACTGAGAAGAGAGAGAAAATGGGAGCCAGGATGGAGAACAGACACATAGAAGAAGGGGAGACGAGAGAGAGAGAGAGAGAGAGAGAGAGAGAGAGAGAGAGAGAGAGAGAGAGAGAGAGAGAGAGAGAGAGAGAGAGAGAGAGAGAGAGAGAGAGAGAGAGAGAGAGAGAGAGAGAGAGAGAGAGAGAGAGAGAGAGAGAGAGAAAGCAGTAAGGACAGAGAGGTGAGTGGTGGGCCAGAAGGGGTTGAAGAGGATCAAAAAGTGTAGAAAAGGAAAAGTGAGGCACAGAGAGAAAGGAAGAGAGAGAGAGACAGGCAGGAGGAGGACGTGAGGAAATATGGTGTGCTGCGGAGGAGAATGGAAACCCCTCCCCCAGTACTCTACTCTAGAGCGATTCTGACACTCACACGACAGCGGCCTCTTTTCATTCTCTCTCTCTTCACTGGCAACAAAATGTGAGCTGTACTAATCATTAGCAAGACACTTTCAGCAGCTCCTCACCTTTTGAGTCAGTCAACCACATACATGTCCATAAACATCTCACCTCATCATTCTTGTACATTTTATGCATGCATGTAGAATAATTGACTAGGATAACTAAATAGTGTGCGTGTACTGACCTGTGTTGGGCTGGCTGTCGTGGGTGAGTGCTCTCCTGCTGTAGTGCTGTTTAAGCAGGGCCCCCAGAACCTCATGGCTCACCTCTGCCTCCTTCTGCAGGGACACGTTAGGGGCCACCATCTTATCGTACGTGTACAGGTAGTAACTGCAAACATAACAAACCCTCAGATTAGTGCACATACAACACTGAAACTGAAAACTCCAGCAATAACAGGAGAATTGTTGCTCTCAGAAAGCCATTCACACGTACAGCTGAGCAGGTAATGATGCACTACAGAGCTAAATTGCAATAATCAGATTAGACTGGAAATAAATTAGCATTTAAAAAAAAAAATAGGGTCTAGCTGAAGTGTTGCAATGCAATGACTTTTTTTCTTGTCGACTGACTCCAAGCCTTCAGGTCATGTGTCTTATTCTTCAATGAGGTTTGCAAATACCGTATACATTTTAAATACATTTTTACATTGTCTGAAAAGATGGGTGGTGAAAATGCCATCACAATGCCCTTTGGTTATTGGTTGCCAGTGATTTGTTATGATGTTGTTAGGGTGTCCTGAGTGGTTGCTAAGGGTGTTTCGTACAGGCCAAAATCAAAAGAACCCAGGTTTCTAGGATATTCTCATCCCTAGATTCAGTGTATATGACATCTATGGAATTTTGCCCATTTTATCATATGCACTTGCTTCTTCCTATTGAAATCTTTAAACAAGGCCCAGGTCAAAAGGCAATGATGGGGAAAAAAGGCCATACCTCGGGTGGACGATGGGGCAGTGTCCTGGTTCCTCTTTGATATCGGGAAAGAGTCGACTGAAAACCAGTGAAGACTGCGAGTTTCCCTGTGCACACAAAAACAAGAGCTTATCAATATTAACGAAGCACTTTAAGGCCGTTTGAATATGAAATGGACTGTTTGAGCTGCATTAAAATACATGTATACACATTTGTGCATGAATAATACAGAAGTTCTTTAAGGTCTCATTACACACAGATCATCAAGAGCATTTGCGCAGGAGCAGCTGAACAGCAATAATTACACAAAAATGTACAAACACAAGAGGGAAACTTGGTGAGGGCAGTGAGGATGCCTGAAGCAGAGTAAACAAAGAGAGCAGTACAAACATCTTGCTGTAATATCATGCATGCATGAGAGGAGCTCATCCATCAGTGGCCACAGAGCAGAGGTTGACAGAGCATTAATGAAGAGGATAAGAGAAAGAAAGCATTTAGTGAAACAGCCCGGGTGGGTTTCTGACTTGATGTAAATGCTTGGTAAACTGTACTGGGGGAAAGTGAGGCTCTGTTTACACCTTGTTTTTGAAAATGTGTCTCAGATGTTTCTCATGTTAAGGGATTTTGAAAGAATATATTTACACTACTAGCTCAAAGGTGGAAAATCTTAATGGACTTTAATGTACAATACCATTATCTGTTTTGAACTTTTTTTAATGAAACAATACTTTTATTCAGCAAGGATGCATTCAATTGATTAAAAGTGGCAGTAAAGACATTTACCTTGTTCTAAAAAACAAAACAAATTAAATTGCGGTTCTTTTAAATGTTTAATTAATCAAAGATTCTTTAAAAAAAAAGGGTTTATTGTTTATTAAGCAGCAAATCAGCATATTAGAATGATTTCTAAAGGATCATGTGACACTGAAGACTGGAGTAATGATGCTGAAAATTCAGCCTTGCCATCACAGGAATAAATTACATTTAATTCAAATAGAAAGCAGTTCTTTTAAATTGTAATAATATTTCACCATATTACCGTTTAAAAATAACTTACCAACCCTGAACTTTCAAAAGTTAGTGCATGTTAATAATAAACAAGGCCCTCCACTCAAAATGGTTTGCATGAGACAGTTTGGAGCCTGTTTACGCCTGGCCCTGCCCACTTGTGATTAGAACACCCGGAATGAAAATAGGAAGGATGACTGTTGGGTCTCTGGTGTGTATGTGCAGTTAGATATTTCTGAATGAAATGAAAGACTGAGTGAGTCAAAGACAGAACGAGAGGAAGGGGTGTGAATGAGGGAGTTGTCTAGGGGTGGGTAGGAAGGGTGAGGTTAGTTTTGAGGCCTGTAATGAGTATGAGTGAGCAAGATAGTGAGAGGCTGTGACTCTATGATGAAGAGGGTGTGTGTGGATGAATGGGGAGGCCGTTATGTGCCTGCGTGTAAACAGAGGCAAGGAGGATACGGACCACTTGAAGAATTAATTTGGAGATATATGGAGGCTGTTTAGTTGTGTACAAATACAGTTTATTTCAAAGAAACTAAATTTATTAAACCATTTATGTCAGATTATAAGTGATTTAACTGTTCTTTCATACTAAGCAGAGTTAGAGATCGTCTATATTCAAGAAGACATGAGAAAATAGAAAGAAGATAGAAAAGATGCCAAGATGCCTGCGAGTAGCCTTGCATTAAAGGAACTTTGGGGTAAAGCGATGCAGTAACATAGACAGTACCTTTTTCTCCAGGACGTTATCAGACAGCTTGCTGTTAGGTGGGCAGAGTGCAGGGCTGGACTTCCTCCCGTGACTGTCGTCATCCACCACCTTCTGCGAGAAAACACAAACACATGCTTCATGAGCACAACCTTATTCACAAATTAGCTGCAAGCGTTCAGACACGCAATACATCTGATATCAGAGAGCTTGTGCACAAATCACCACACTCAATCTGTCCGTCACCTCTTCTGCTAAACGTATTCAACAAACACGCTGCAGGGCTTGTGCATATGTGCGCTAGTCACACAGCATGAATCGGGGGCAAGCTCAGTGCTGATGGTTATCAGACACAGACAGAGACTAATATAGCTGACACAGAAGGGAAGAGACCTTACGCTCATCTGACATAGCAGTTCTCTTCAGAAGATTCATATGTGCGTTTCTAATGTTTATAATCCGTAACATCCTCTATTTGGCAGAGCAAAACAGAAAGTGTAACGCACATCCTCGTCCCTCCATCACAGAGACACTAACAGTAGTGGTTGGGTGGGTGCCAGAGGAGGAAGAAACATGTTTTATCTGGAGTAAATTACAACTTCCTGCAGACTATGGGAACTATGGGATCTCCTGTTTCCTGTAGGCTGAATAATGAATGGCGATGTCGTCGCACAACATAAAGCAGCTGTACGGTGGTGGGGTGACATGGCAACCCCACACATCGGCGCTAAACGCAAAAAAATGTGCGTGTAGGAGATAGGGCTGTTTTTCTTGAGGGAAGAGGACTGCAGCATGAGGGAGGGGTGGGCAGCTGCCGAGGGGGGCAGAAACAATGAGCACACTGCAGTGGTGAGCCTGTCTAACCTTGACAAGCGCACACACTATGTCTACCGGCCCATCTCTCCACACTTCAAGGCCCAGCCAACACTCCCTCCTCACCCGTGACACATGCAATCACACAGTCCCCACTCTGTCTCCTTCACGTTGTGGGTTCTCATCTCTCGAGAGCCAAGTATGCAATTCTAATGTTTAAACCTGGTTCAATATGCTATGTTTGGAATAGAGTACTAGCATGCTGCACAGTATATACTGTATGAAAATAGTACATACTATACTTTCCCCTTTTTTATTGCAACAACATAAAAAATACTCAAACAGATAGTACAAATGTAAGGCAGAGTTCATAGAAGTTCCATGTCCTTTCAATATGTAAAAATGAAAATATTGTAGGGTCTTAGTGTCCTTTTTCATATTTTGAGTTTTTACTTGGTTAATTAATCTGTATATAATATATAATATATATATATATATATATATATAATTAATATTCATCAAGTGGAGATAAAGAAAATAAATATAGACATTGTGCATTTGTAATCCACAATTGTGCAAAAATGTCTTGACAGTCAAATAATAAATAATCAGTCATAAAAAAAGATAATAGGATATTACTTTTAATTCATTCATCATACTGAAAAAATATAAGGTCAAATCAAGTGCATGGCATTGGGGATACAGTACGACACAGTACATTTTATATTAGGTCATGTGGGGATTCTGCGCATACTGAAAATTAGCATATTATGCAGAGTATATATACATTCTACACTGCAGAAAGTACACAAGTAGTACGCTATTTTGAACCACCATAGAGACACCACACACTGGTTTATATTAGAGCTTCCAATCTGCTGTATCACATGCTAGATGCAGTGCAGCCTTGACGCAAGACCTTACAGCAAAACAAACACAAAAACAAGGATTTATCTAGCTGGCCTGCAGCACACGGTGCGAGCAGTGATTGTGATAGTTGTGCGAAAGCTGTGGGCGCTGTTTAGTGTTTACTGAGAGTTATTGCTCTGTTCCCCTCAAGGACATAAGAAAATTACACTGGAACAGGTGTCTCATGCTCTCAAGACGCAAAAACATGAGATACATGACATAAATCCACTATATATAAATGACGTGAAATATAAACAATGTGGTAAGAAAGCGTCTGCTGAGAAGGCCATTGTAATGTACACAGTTTGTAAATGACAGTTTCTCTCAAACGGTTATTTCTCGTTTAAGTCACTCAAGAACCCAAATCCTGCGGATCAGGTTGTTATGAGTTTCTCTCTGCGCTCTCTTCCAGGGACGCAACACCTCAGCCATCTCTAATCTCTTTTTAATTAGTGTGTTAAAGTCTCACACACACAATCATATTCTGTAACACTATTTACTTGTGCATCGTTGACAAATGTAACTAACACAAATCCCTCACGTCTCGACATGCAATCAGAACAAGAACACACAAACACCCAGAGGATGCAAAGCCTGTTTGTCACAAGCATATGTGATATGCAAAACTCTGCAAAAGTGTGTGTGAGAGGAAGACAGCTCACAACGGTGGGAGTTAGCATTCCTGCAGCTCGCTCATTTGAAACGTACCACCGCTGCTCCTAACCCATCAGAGAATGCATGTTCGTACGCACACACCATTCGTTCTTCAGTACTAGGGTCTGCGTTGTTTCCTTTTGGCCCCGGATCTCCCGTACGCCCACGTCAGCTCGCTAACCTGAGCAGCACCAAAACAACCTGCTAGGTCTAACAGAACACTTTAAACCTTCATCAAATTCAAGTGTTTTCCCTCGAAATGGGCATAATGAGGTCACTGACACACAAACACAAATTCTACTTTGGCTCTGACAATAAAGACTGTAACATGTACAAGCCTGACCACATCACTATTACCAACTATGGAGATCCCCTGTCGAAAACAGAGCTCTACGAAAAAACAACGTATCCACAGAGGTTGACGAGAAAAAAGTAAAAAAACACACGCAATGTCTTTGCAGTTCCCGCACGTTTTATCAGCTACGCTGTAAGTGGGGAATTACAGCGTAGTATTACAAGCCGCACGGGCCGATGATGAATCTTATCTAGGCCAACCTCACACAGTCATAATACGCGATGACCTTTCAGAGAGCGCGTGTTTACCCTAGGAATGCCATTTTATGCATATCTGTCCTGTTTTTATGTGTACACGTGTGTATAAGCATTTAATTTGTGAATCTGTGAGTGACACTGAGCATGAGTGGCTTTTTCATTTATAAGCACCTCACACACACACACACAGTTTAGCACAATCCGTGTGAAAGGCGGCACACGAGGGTGATTGTGTGTCCATCTGTTGCAGCTCTGGCAGAGGGTGTGTATAATGCGAAAAAAGCAGCGCAAACGTGCAGTTTTCAGTCACAAACACACAGAGAGCTGCTGGGGCCCCTCACTGTACCCCCTCCATAGGTCTCCTATTCACACATCATTAGCAAGCACTACAGGGGAAAAAAAGGAGTGAGGACATGTGTGAGCCGGGTGCACGGTGACCAAATATAGGCCAAGTTGACTTAAGAAAAGTACGCAAATCATTTACAATCTGGAAACAATGGCTGTGTTCAGAATGGAAGACTAGCATGTTGTTTGTTGCATACTATCAAAGTCCCTTTCAAGAAAAGTCTGTCCACTAAGCGGCCAATTTTGCAACACCTCCGGGCAGCTATTTTGGTCATCCAAGACCAAGTCCTATCTATTTGAATGGGGAAATCCTGAAATCTTAAAAACTGCTTGTCATACCCGGATTTGGATCATAAATTTCAATCAGCAACAAAATCTGACATGAGGGTGAGTAAATGATGACAGAACTTTTATTTTGGGGAGAGCTATCCCTTTAAGTCAGCAAGTGGAGTCCAGCTGTCATCTCAGAAGTAAATGTTTGTTTAGCATTTGTAATCCAAGTTCGTGTAAAAATGTCACATCAAATAATGAGTCACGAAAAATCACTGCGGCTATTACTTCCATTTCATTCGTCACACTGGAAAAGTCTCGTGCATTGCATTGTGGGACTCGTGCGCTCTGTGCTATTCTAATGAGGCATCTTTTCCATGTGGGCTGGACAGTGGACAAATGTAGGCCAACTTGATGCGGGCTATAAGGAGATAAAGAGAGGAAGAGAGACGGAACAAAAGAGAGATCTAAAACAGTGACAATTTCCCTGTTTTTCTTTAACAAAAATGTAAAATATTACATAGCATCGATCATCAATGTGAATATGAGTATGTTGGACACTTAAATGTGATAAAAATCCCCAAAATTATAATTCCGTGTGTCTTTTTCCTGAAACACAAGCAGATGAATATAAATGTAAATTGCTCTACTTAAATCAAATGTAACAACTTGCGCAAGAATACAATTTACACAAATTCTTGATTAAGGCCCAATGTGTATTTAGAACAGACAGAATCACTCCAGAATGAATACAGCAACATTTTGGCAACATTATGTGGATTAATGTAAATTTGGTTGTCACCTAAATCTTTTAGGAGTGAATTCGGTAGTAAGAGCTGACTTGGAAGTGCTCGTGGCCAGTATGGTTTTGCACATACTGTATATAAAAGTAAACATGCATTCCTGACATTACCTATGACGCCTATACTCACACACTGGAGTACTAAAATCCACATCATACAAAAATACACTAAAACAACCCAAACATTCATAATCAAACTAAAACACTTGCACAAAAACCCGAACAAACAACGTGCCTCTAAATATCAAAACACGCTCTCAGGGATCAAACACACAGGCTCAGACGTGCTCATTCCTGAGAGGATTTGGCTGGCAGCCTAGGGCAAATTTTTTAAGGGAAGAGGGAGGGAGACGAACATTCCGTCTAGACGTGGTCATCAATAGTGCACAGTCTGCCTGTCTGTCTGCCCTTCCCGTCAGCCGTCTACACACATCCACTGTTTAATCTACAACATACGACCTGATCAGAGCCACACATACACACGGGTGACCGAGTTATCCACTCGTTATCCAAACTAACATACTGTGCCGGTGATCACGGATCGGCTCAGAGGGCTGAGAGTCGTAAACACACAGAGGAATGGTCTCTCCTGCTCTCAGATTTCACTGATTCAAACAGAGCTCTGCCTGTTCCCTTTCCTACACACAGGCGGCTTTAAATAGGCCTATGAATGGGAGATCTGTATGCACGGCGTGTGTTAGAACCGAGTACTCTCAAGTGTGCGCCGGTGAAAAGCAGTAACCACATAAGCCTCCCATGGCGCGGCTAC